TTGCTTTGTGGGTGGTACCGAGGCTAGTGACCGGTCATCGAAATGCACGTCGGCCCAATTGGTGAGAAATCTGTGGTTGGGGGCAGCTATCTCCAGGTACGTTGTTCCCATTCCTTATCCACCCTCGTAATCTCTTCTTACCGTGAGGAAGTGAGTCCAACTTGAGTGTCCTCTCTTTTGAAAGGAGTCGTGTGCGCTCTATCTTGAGAGACGACATTCTTCCCGGTGGCGCATCTGCCAGGAGAGGGCAGTGCCTCTGAAGGGCCCTGGTTGAAGCACGGGTCACGGTCACCATGCCAACCCATGGGAGCAGTACACGCAGGCCATGCTGCTTTGTCCATTGAGGCTCTTTGCTGTGCTAATAGAAGGGGTGTGCGTACTGACCAGTCCTATGGAGACGCTCCTAGACCGTCTATAAACATTTCTGGTTGGGGTCTGAACTGTCCACTGGCTGTGATCGTCGTCCTGATTGCGACGTTAAAGAATTCCTCAGGACTCTCGGGGCTGTCCTTAAATTGCCTCTTGATCAGCCAGATCAGTCAGACGTAAGGCTCGTTGCACGCGAGGGTAAACAAAGGGAAGGCTGGTCATAAGCATACTTCTTGGGCACATGGGTGGGCCGTGGTTGCACACCTTAGACACCGCAGCTTGATGATGCTCACAGGTACGTTGGATACAGGGGAAGGGATTCCAATTGTGAACTGAACATCACTATTTTACCCATTGTGCATACATCTGCTGACATAGTCTGTTTTTGTTTTGATTAGTTGGTTGACAGACTGCTGACACCTAACAGACGGCCTAGAGTGGGACTGTAATATACCATAGTCAGCTCTTCTCAAAGCTTCTGTTCAGAACTAATCAGGATAGAGGTAGACTACGTGTATAGTCTGTATAGGTGTTGTTGATAGCGCTTGAATAGTAGCCGGAGGTGATTCGCTGGGTATTTATGTATTTATTTGTTTTAGCGCCAGTCAGGCGTATGCTGCGGTAGGTCCTAGAGAGGACTCTAGTGCAGACAGTGTCTGCCTAGCCGATGAGTGGATCATACGGGGAAGAAGGTACAACTGACGCTAGGAGGTTAACCAGGCTATCATCGCTTAGAATCCCTAGAGTGTTCCAGGCCCTACAACCGGCAGAAGAGAGAAGACTAAGGGCCAAAGCTAGGGCCCGTAGTCTTGAGGCTGCAATGGCTACCGCTTCAGCAACGTCTACAACAAGCTCTGGTCAGGGCATGTCGTCCAATTCGACCAGCTCGCAGTCAGTCTCTGATACGTCAGGTGCCGGCGCTAGTTAGATGGCCGGTGTGCAGTCCAGCCTACCGCCTCATCTTATGAGGGAGCAGATGGAGCTCCAACAGATAGAGAGGATCTGCTTAATGCTAGAAGAGGAACTCAAGTAGGCTACTAAGAGAGAAAAAGAAATTAGAGAGAGAAGAGTCAGACTAGAGAGTAGGGAGGCAAGCCTGGCTGCACTAGAGGGTTTAGATGACGCAGCCCTTAACTCTACAGGAGAGATCCTTAAAGCAAGCGTCCTGTCCATGCAGGTGTACATGGAGAGCAAAATAGACGCCATGCAGGACACCCTAGACCAGATTTTGCAGGCCCAACAAAGGCCAGGGATCCGGACAATACCTTTGCCATCGCTTCCATTATCAGTGATGACAGGCCCCTATGCCGCTTAGTTTGGACAACAACCAAGCGGTACATCAGCAGCAGCTCTATCTCAGACTGTTGCTTTTTCATCTTCTGGTCCAGCGACTGGAGCTACATCACAGTCGCCACCTGTCCCGCCAACGGGACAGCAATTACCTTGGTATCCCAATACCCCCCTGAAACCACCTCCAACCTTCTCAGGAGACAAGAAGGATGAGGCTCTCGACACGTGGCTGAGAACGGTTCCAGTGTGGGTAAGGGCAAAGAGGACATTGGTAGAAGAGAAGGTGATAACTGCTGCATCCTACTTAGAGGGTTCAGCAACTCACTGGCTGAATGGATTGGTAGCTTCAAACGGGTTCGGCAGGAACATGGGTGATGGGGCAGAGACCCACACCCTAGACAGCTTTATGGACTTAGTGGAGGCTCGATGGCACAACCCTCAGCAGGCATTGCCACTCATGGACTTCTAAAGCTTGATGCTAGAAAGTACAGTGCGAGAGCTTACCACCACCGTAGAGCGCCTGATTCTCGTCCCATGAGTGGAGTACAATCCACATGTCTTATTGACCACGTTCTTAAGATGTCTTCCCACAAACATGAAGAACTTACTGGCCAGCGAGGCTCGGCGTGAGTATCACACCTTCGAGACATTCAGTAAGAAGGCCCTAGATTTAGAGGGCTACGCTAGGTAGTGCTCAGACCCCTTCTACGAACGGGAGAAAGAAGAAGGCCCCACAAGAGTGGAAGAAAAAGGGTAGTCGATTGATGATGGTTGATTCCAAAGGGAATCAAACTGAGATCGACGATGTTTCTGAGCTTGTGGAGGGAACAAAGTTAGACGGCAAGGAGATTGTTGAGGGTAGCAACCTCGCGGCTGCAGTTAAGACTAAGGCAGTTGACCGCGGGAAGGGCAGTCAACAGAGGAGTCAGGGGCAAGCCGCCAACCCAAACAAAATAGCTGCTTGGGTAAGGGTTGGTTTGGATCAAGAAGTGTGGCAGGACTGTTGGCAGCGGGGTGCTTGCATAAACTGCGACGAGTATGGCCATACATAGTTTAAGTGCAAGAACCGAAGGTCTCGTAGAAGATCCCTCCTAAGGGTGGGTATCCTTCTTCTCAGTCTGGGGCCTCTACGAGCTCCAGCTCGAGAAACACTTAAGGTCGGTAGAAGTTGTAGTTGCTTCTACTCTCGTTGGAGTGGGTGATGTACCCTCCCCGTTTCAAGAGTGGGCCGAAGCTATTGACTCCTTAGTCACCCGCAGACGCATCGAGACCCAACTATACTTTATACGTTGGATGTGTCTGAAGCCTTAGAGGACCTTCAAGGTGAGTGGTCAGAAAGGGACCCTCTTGAGTCCTGGGTGGCACTGAGTAGAGGTCCTAGAGGGGAGCACTTCGTTGTGGAAGTTGGTGTGGGTGGTCGCAAGTGCGGCGCCTTCATAGACATTGGCTCCATGCGAAACTTTATAAGTCGCTTCTGCGTTGATAGACTACGCTTAAAGGACCAGGTGCAGCGCCCGAGTAGACCGGTATCATTTGCTTTGGCCAACAAAGAGCGCATGATGGTGGAGGACTACGTTAAAGATGTAGTCTGCACTTTCTCCTACCCAGGAGGAGAGTTAAAACATAAGATATCATTCCTGGTGAGTGACGATTTGCCCTTTGACATGTTGTTGGGCATGTACTACCTCGAGGTTGCCAAGCCCCAGTTTGACTGGGACAAGAAGGTGTTGAAGCACGAGTTGCCTAATGGGAGGACCGTTAGACTGGCTAAGTATAAAGCCAATAGGTTAATAGACTCCTATGGGTGCGTATGCGCATCTGCCTTCTATAACTATTATAAACAGAACCAAAAGCAAGGAATGTACTTAGTCTATGTCTCTGCAAAAGAGGAGGCCGTTAAAACACCCCAGAGATAGAGACAATCCTCGCTAAGTACCTTGATTTGTTCGAGGATCCCTCAGGAGTCGTAGACAGGGAGGTTGTCCATGCCATAGAGATCACCCCAGGTAAAGGGAGAATCTATAGGATGGCTCCGACCGAGTTGGACGAGCTTCGTCGGCAACTGAAAGAGCTCACAAAAAAGGGTTGGATTCGGCCTAGCACTTTCCGCTTTGGCTCACCAGTCTTATTTGTTCCAAAGAAAGGGGGAACACTAAGGATGTGCATTGATTATAGAGGCCTCGATGCCATCACCGTTAAGAACACAGAGCCTCTACCACACATTGACGACCTATTGGATAGGGTGCAGGGGTGTAAGTACTACACTAAGATAGACTTAAAATCCGGCTACCATCAGATTGCCATAAGACCAAAGGACCAACACAAAACCGCATTCTAGACCAGCTACGGTCTGTACGAGTTTGTGGTGATGCCCTTTGGCCTTTGCAATGCGTCGGGTACATTCCAACACGCCATGATAGGATCTTCCATGGCTACTAAGTTCGTCGTCGTGTACCTTGACGATATACTTTTCTTTAGTAAGACTTTCGAGGAGCATGCTCAACATGTTGATAAAGTCCTCTCACTTCTTCGGCAACACAAGTATAAGATAAACAAAGGGAAATGCGAGTTCGGTCGCACTCGAATCTTGTACTTGGGTCATGAAGTATCCGCGGATGGGATTAGGCCCGAAGATGCGAAGGTGGCTAGCATACGTGACTGGCCACAACCCCAGTCTGTGACTGAGGTCATATCATTCTTGGGAATGTGTGGATATTACTGCAATTTCGTAAAGAATTATAGTACGACTACATCTCCCTTGACTGATCTAACTCAACTTGACACACCATGGGACTAGGCCGACGAGTGTAAGGCAACTTTCAAGCGTTTGAAGCATGCTCTCACTTACCATGAAGTTCTCATGGTACCCAACCCGCAAAGGCCCTTTGTTGTAACCATTGACGCAAGCCAATACGGTATTGGCGCAGTGCTGGCTCAGCAGGAAGGGAAAACGTTGAGACTGGTCAAGTACATGAGCAAAAAAATGCCATCAAAGAAGTTGGCGAAGTCCACCTATGAGAAGGAACTATATGCTCTCTACAAGGCACTTGTCCACTGGAGGCATTATCTGTTAGGAAGGTTCTTCTACTTGAGAACTGACCATCAGACCCTCAAGTGGATTAAGNTCTTCTACTTGAGAACTGACCATCAGACCCTCAAGTGGATTAAGACCCAACCAGTTCTCTCCGATGCACTCAAACACTGGATTGAAGTCATAAATCAGTATGACTTCAAACTAGACTATGTAAATGGAGAGTACAACAAAGTTGCGGATGCGTTGTCTAGAAGGGCAGATTCCCTAGGTGCGCTGATTTCTGAGTTTGACGTGACTCGATCCTTGGGGGAAGCCTACAAGGAAGATCCCGTCACGATGGACATCATCAACAAACTTCAGGCCAAAGATATAGCCACTTCTGACGAGTTTGTGATGGTGGATGGGTTACTCTTTCTTGAAAAGGCAGGGTTTTAGAGGTTAGTTGTTCCATCTAGAGAGATTTTGCGTAGTTTATTCTCAGGTGAGTGTCATGACGGAACGGGACATTTCGACTACAAGAAGACTAGTGCTAATTTAGTACAGCGACTCTGGTGGCCTAACATGCTAGACGATGCAAAGGAGTATGTACATACCTCTCAGGTCTGTCAGCGGGACAAGCCGCGGACTCAAGCTCCGCTTGGGTTACTTGAACCTCTACCCATTCCTGCTGGCCCAGGGCAGCACATCTTCGTCATAGTTGATAGGTTCACTAAGTATGCTAGACTGATTGCCATGCCGGAGACCGCCAGGACTGAACATGTCATCAAGTTATTCATGGATAACTGGGTGCATGACTTTGGATTGCCAAAGACAATCGTTAGTGATAGAGATGTGTGTTTCACAAGCGAGATGTGGAAGAAGGCCGCTGAACAGATGGGCAGCCAGCTTCAGATGACTTCTGGGAATCATGCCGAAGGAAACGGGCAGGCTGAACAGATGAGCCGTGTGGTGCAGCATCTGCTGAGGCATTACATCAAGCCCAGCCAGGGTGACTGGGATGAGAAATTACCTCTCATGGCCAACCTGTACAACAATGCTGTACACAGCACCACCGACGTCAGTCCTAATCAACTACATCTGGGGTGGAAGCCTAGATCTGCTCTAGACTTCCTCCTGCCTGAAAACCGAACTGCTGCAACTCCTGGAACCATTGAATTTGGTGTCCAGTATGAGAAATTGTTGCAGCAGACTGTCAAACACATCAAGAAATCTCAGGAAGCCATGTCGCCGACAGTCAACATTTCAGGTAGGGGAACGTGTCTGGGTCAAGGCTAGTGAGTTGGGACAAGAGTTTGGCATCTCTAGGAAACTAATGCTGCAGTATTTTGGTCCCTGGGAAGTCTTAGACATTGTGGGGAATGATTTGGATGGTCCGTCGTACGTCATTCGTATCCCTGGTCACCTACGCACATACCTTGTTTTTCACACCTCGAAGCTTGCACCTTTCGCTGAGACAGCACAGTTCCCATCTCGGAGATCTATGCTGCCCCCAACCATGGATGGCCACGTGGACGTCGACGGCATCCTGCATCACAGAGACACGCCTGTTCCCAAGCCACCTGGCAGGGGAAGACCTCCTAAACCTACAAGGGAATACAGAGTACATTTCAGGCATCATACTGATCCTAAGGAAGATCGATGGATTTCAAGGGAGGAACTTGTCAAGACAGATCCTCAGATCGTGGCAGACTATGAGAAGAAACTGAAGGGGAAGGCACCAACATGAAGCATCTCAGCGGACTTTCGAAGCTAAGGGGGATGGAATGTGAGGAACAAGCCCTCAAGGGACCCTATCAGACATCACATGTTCTGGGCTAAGGCCCCCAGCAAGCCGAGTGTCCGCCCTAAGTGAAGGCGGGCCTGAATATTCGTCAAAGGTCAAAATTCAACATTTCCATGTGTGGGTATTCAGGCTCTCGCAGCACGCCAGGTGGTTGGGTAGACGCGTGAGCCTCACTAAGCTGCGTCGTACAGTTGGCCCAGGCCTTGACAGTTGCGCCTGGGCACATACACACAGAGCAGGGCCGATACATTGGGAAGCAGGCCATCGGCCTTTGGAAAAGCAGTACTGCTGATGTACTTACCTGGGAGCCCTGCACAGATGCAGCAAACAGCCCAAGTCCGGAGACTCAGGCCATGCCCAACTGAAAAGGGCCCAGGCCCTCAACTGTAGTCTCGGGCCTGGGCGCAGGGTCTGAGGCCCAACCGGAAGCTACTGGAAGCTTCCAGCCAGGCCACACGCAGCATCCAGGAGGATGCCACTTCCATAAAAGAAGTGAGGCAGCCCAGGCCAGGCATTCTGGCCAGTGCTGGCAATGCGGAAGTGCTGCTGCGCTCTTGCTTGATGCTGCGCTGCTGCCAAAGGCGCTGACGGAGCGCGTAGTGGTGAGGAGGGGCGCTGCAGGGTAGCAGGGCGCAGGCAGCCATAGCCGGGCTGCTGGGCGCCATGGGGTGCAGCGGACGATCTGGTGGTCTTCAGGGACGGAGGCGAGTGTGGGGTGATCAAGGTCTGATTGAGGGTGACGAGATACGTACCTGGTGCATGAAGAGAGGTCGGCTATGGAGTTGACAGTCGTGTACTTGGTCTTCGAGAGTCGAAGTGAGCCTGTTGCGTGAACCAGCTGTAGGTAGGATAGTCGGGCAGAGTAGGTTGGGCGCTGGGTACCAGACAGAGAGGAGCGACTTTGGATACTGTGTTGGTGTGGCCTACGGGCTTGAACATTGGGTCGTTACTTCATTGTATTGCTCTATATGGATGGTTTCTCGGTGCATTTTGTACTCTCTGCTTGGATACGACTACCTGGACATCTGTGTGATTTTGCAACTTGGTTTTCTGTATATCGTTCACACTCATATTCCTTGCAAATGCAGCAGCACTGCAGAGTCTTTGTCGGGCTCGGCGACATTTGTTTATGAATTGATAAGTTATTAATACTTATTATCTTGCTCCCACTCAGAACAAGTCTGAATAACTGTTGTTTGGAAACAACTCTGCAGTGCCCTGCTTGAGAAGAGCTGTATCAATTGAGGAGGACTATATTTTGAGCGGCGGCGAGCTTCTCGTAGATGATGATGTGGAAGGAGGTTGGCTTGCAACCCATGGAGCACCTAAAGGCAAGTGTCGAGTTCGATGAACGTTGATCCATCGATTTCATACTTTTTGATTTTATACAATCTGAGGTGTAGAGAAGGACCCCTGAGTAAAACTTCGTTTTTGAATGTTTCAAAAACTTCCATTTCGAATGTTTCCGCTGAGACTGATATTGTCTATTTTTTAAAATTTTACTAGTATTTTAAAATTTTCAACAGTTGAATCACCAGTGCATCCGACCTCACTTGCCGAGGGAGATTCCCCCTGCACGCCAAGCTTTGCCGGAGTGCCGGCGGGGCACTGTTTCTTTTCTTTTGCCTGGTGGCACCAGCCCTTTTGGTCCGTTAGTCCTGAGCCCTCAAAATTTCCTGATTGGCGCGATTTTGAATTCTAAAGTTTGCCTTGGCGATGTACTGGTGGTTTAATGCCTGTTTCATTCTTTACGACTTCTGAAACAGCCGAAATCTGCTGCTTGTAGTTTTTCTTTTCGCCAAGTTGCTTAAAAAAATTAAAGGCATACCAAAACGGAGAGAAACCGAGGGGGGGCGGCAGAATCCGCAGAGGGATCCAGTCAGAATCATCGGAGCCGGCAGGCCTACCATTCGTAATATCCTAGTAGGGTATCGATTGTGTTTGTAGTGCGGGTAACTTTGCGTTGGATTGGGAGGGGTTTTTAACTTCTCTGCAGGTGTGTACCAACGGCTCTAGCCCAGCTGGGACGCCCATGAACTGTCGAAACAACAGACCTGAGTTCAAATCCAGATGAAACTAAATGAAATCAAATACTTATGCATTACGTGGGGCCATTCAGCTTGAAACTAGTTAATATCGCAAGGCCGCCGCTGTTTTGTTTTTTGAACTTTTTTTGCCTGGAGAAAAGGGAATTTCTGAAGGTGTCAATGCGGATGTAGTATGCATTGTTTTTTGTTTGCGACCAGCAATATGATACACCCAGTTTTCATTAAAGTGTATGACAAGTAAATTGCATGATTGCAATAATAATATGATAATATTGCAATAGCAAATGCGCAGATGCAGGGGGATGCTATTATAGTATTACCAACTTGTTACTGGCATTGGCCTCTTTCAAGGATGGTAGACAAATAGAGAGAAAAATGGTCTAAAAGACTCCAAATATGACAACCAAAAAAATAATAATAATAAAAAAAAAAGAAGAAGAAAAAAGGAAAGAAGGGCGTATTTTACAATGTTACCAGAGTGGCCGGGACCACTTGCCCGGTTGGGCCAAAAAATGGAAATTTGATTTTATGAAGTTTTCAACTAGGCTGCGTCTCTCATCATTGTGGGCCAAAAAATCCGAAAAAAAAACTATGTTATACAGAAAAATAAACTGAACAACTTTTGCCTCAGGGTCACATCGAAATTCTTTACGAAATTTAACATAAAAATAAAAATCTAAAAGTAATTTTTATTTTTTTATTTTTTTATTTCCTTTTGGCTCAGCCGGGCAAGTGGACCCGGGCCACTCTGGTAGCCTAGATTTTTTGTTTTTATTTTATTTTTATTTTTTACAGGGACCTTTCCTGTGCAAGGAAAATGAGCGATAGCGAACTTCAGAAACCAAGCAGCATTATACACATGAGACCAGATAGTCGTGACCTCGAACCAAAAGCAGAATTGTAACGCAGAGTCCCACCAAATAAGAGCACAGCAAAAGCTCATAAGTGACAATGTTCGAATAGTCTCATCATCATCAACAAAGAACCAATGTCGACATCCTATCTGGCGCTTGGGGCACTATTTAACAGCAAATCGGGCTACCAGAGTGGCCTCTAACAGCAAATCAGGCCTCTCTGTACTTAGGGCAGTGTTTAATAATGTGACCAGGATCACCACAATAAATGCACTGATCTTGATCGGACCTCCTCTGCCAGACTGTTTGTTCTAGGCCCAAATCCTCCCAAGGCTTGCCCTGTGGCAGGCCAGGGTGCCATCCACGCCTCCTGTACGGTGACCGATTAAAACTAGAGCGGTTTTGCGGGGGACCTTGACCCCTACCTCCCTCTTGGCGGCCTCCTCTGCCACCAACCCCCTGATTGCCCTGTCCACGACCACCAGAGGCCCGACCCCCTTGGCCCTGGCCTCTCCCTCTTCCTTGCGGCCTCCCTCCAGCCGCGACAGTAGCGTAAGTCCTCCCCTGACTATCGCCACTATCTTCTTCCTCTAGGCCCCACTCTATTTGATCATACGAGACCTCTTCCATACCACCCTCGTCTAACACAAGGATCAGGTGATCCTTGCCCTTGACTTGACCCGAGATGGTACGGCCTTTCCACTTCTTTCCCTTATCAAGGTCTTTATGCCAGAAAGTGGAAACTGGCATGGACTTCGCTTCTAATGCTACCACCTACCTACTCAAAGTATCGTAGGTCATGGTAGACTCCCTACTCTTCTCGAAGAAGTGCCCGCACAAAGGCTCGGGCATGGCACGATAATACAGTTGGACCAGCTGGGTCTCAGTGACCCCATGACCAGGGACAGCTACCAATTGATCCATGACACCCTTGAGTGCCCTGGCACTCCTCCATTGGCAGGAATGAATGGTTTGCAGCTTGTCAGAGGCTACTTCGCGTGACATCTGCAAACCTCTCGCGTAGTAACTTAAAGAAGTCACTAAGGGGGGTGATCAAGGAATATGCAACCATATCATTTTCGCATTTAGCAGCGTGGCAGAGCGATCTAGCGAAACTAGCTGCCTCATCTTTGAGAGCATGGAAGGCGATGAGGACCTGTTCCTCAGGACCTATCTTTTGCAGGTGTACATAGGAGTTCACATTCGCCTCCCAAAAGTCCTCCTCCTTCTTTCCACTGTACGAGTCATGAAACTTTACCTGGATTGGCTCTCTACGGGGACGCGCTTCCTCCTCCCTTGGAGCAGCGAGTTTTGCGCCTTCTATGGCACCCGTGCAGAATCGCTCCGTGTTTTCTAGCCTCGTTGTTACTTCTGAGCCCACGTGCATCATTATGTCACGTTCGAACTCTCTAAACCCCACTCGAATTGATCGCAAAGCTACATCCTGGCTCCTGGTGAACTGATTGCTCATCATGCTTTAGCCAGGAGCTCAATATTCCTTGACATCACCTCTATCTTCCCCTGTATATCTGCTTGCGCCGCCATCTGCGCCCTCTGTTATTTTATAACCTCCAATTATTTTGCAACTTTACTTATCTCCTCCATCCTCTTCTTCTTCTCCTGGTCAAACGCAACTTCCACTCCGACTTCTTCTCCTCTTCTATGTTCTGGTGTTTTAAGGGGTCTTCTTCTGCTTCCCACTCTTTCACAACCGCCTCCTGTTCTTCCCTGGGGACATATAACATTGCCTCCTTCTCTTCTCCCAGGGACAGATTGGCAACCCACTCAAACACTTTCTTCTCCAACCACTGGTCCCCTTCCTTTTTCGTGCCACTGGACTCCGCTTTGTCCCTGAAACTACTACTTATCAGGGGAACTTCTTCTGCCGCCTTCTTCTCTTTTTCTTCTTCTTCTTCTGCATCCACTGCTTTCATTTTTTCTTCCTCCTCCTTTTTCACCTTTTCCAATTCCTCCTCCAACTTCTTTCTTTTCGCGGCCTGCTCCTGCATTAAGGCCAACTTTTTGGCCTGCTTCACCACCTCCTTCTCATTCTTGGCCTTCCTGCATTAAGGCCAACTTTTTGGCCTGCTTCACCACCTCCTTCTCCTTCTTGGCCTTCTGCTCGGCCAGGATCTGCACAAAACGGCGAATATTTGGGCCCCCATTAACCGTCTCTCACGTTAAAGAATTCCTGAGGAGTTATGGGGGATCTCCTTAAATGCCTCCTGATCAGCATTGAAGTCCTGTAGTGACAGCCCTTGTATTAGGTCCAGGCTAGAGGCCTCCTGATCTGCATTGAAGTCCTGTAGTGACAACCTTAGTATAAGGTCCAGGCTAGAGACCATAGTTGACAGGGTTCTGAACCGGAGAGAAAGCCAGGTGAGATTGACCGCAGGTGCTGGGCATCTGGGTCTGGATTGTAAAGGACAGTGGTGGCGAAAGCTTCCATCGGCCGTGGTAACATGGCTGGATCAAAGGGTAAGGCTTTGTGGTCAAGGGTAAGGCTTTGTGGTCCTTAGATAGTTAGTCAGTCAGTCAAGTGGGTAGGTCTAAGTGGTGAGGAGTGGG